CCTCCCTTCAAATGTCACAAGTGCCATGGAGGAGACAGTGAGCAGGAGCTGGTACATGAAGGGCTCTGAGCTAAGGGGAGTTCATTGGAGGTCTAGGCATGCCCACAGACCCCCCCCCAGCCCAATATCTCTATTTTCTTCACCCTGAACCTGTTCATCCAATGTCCAGTCCCCAAACATTTGAGTTTTTATTCCAAATCAGGACACTGGTTTTGTTTTTTGAAAACCTGAAATTTTTCACGGTTCAAAAATTCCACTTCCCAGCCACCTCTTTCCCATTTTTAATTCTTTTAAATATGGCATTTTTAATATGGGATGAGAGCTAGAGAGATGCCAAAGTTCAAGGGCAGTAGTTTGCTGTGACCTTAGCTAAGGCTCTCTAGATGTATCTTGGTGAGTGTGTCTAAAGAGGATCGTGAGTAATACTTGTTGTATTAGTCACTGTGAATAATTTAGCCAACAGATTTTTTGACATTTTTCTTCAAATAAATGTTTCATTTTTTTGACCATCTCTATAAATGAAACTAAACACAGAGAAGCAAAGGTGATGTTCACTGGAAGGAACTATTTGAATTATTCAGCCACACAACTGGGTTCTAAATGAACGATAATCTGCTAAGAAAAATACTTGCATGTCCCTGCTGACAACCCAATTAAACCTCTTCTCAGCATGCAGTAGTGGTCAAAAAGGCAAACAAGTAATTTGTATTTAAAGTTTAGGGAATACTAGTGAAATATGCCATTCTATAAATCAATAGTGAGCTCTTACCCCTGGTCACCCTATTAAGGTCGAAGCCAGAGGCTGCAAAAATTAGTGTCATGGAAACACTTCCAAATGAGAAGAGATGATATTCCAATTCTCTATTTCATTTAGGGAAAAGACCAGGTAAGAGGTGAAGTGATAGAGATGTACAAAAATAATGAATGGTTTAGAGAAGACAAGTTAGGTGATCCTCTCTCATAATAAAAATGGGGGACTGTGATGAGTGTACAAAATCCTCTCTGCCCCTCCCTCCCCCACTGAAGGCTTCACCATCCTATAAGGTAGACCATAAGGTGGATAGAAAGCTGGCTAGATCATCGGGCTCAATGGGTAGTGATCCTGGAGGGGGGGAGGGATAGCTCAGTGGTTTGAGCATTGGCTTGCTAAACCCAGGATTGTGAGTTCAATCCTTGAGGGGACCATTTAGGGATCTGGGGCAAAAATTGGGGATTGGCCCTGTTTTGAGCAGGGGGTTGGACTAGATGACTTTCTGAGGTCCCTTCCAACCCTGATATTCTATCAATGGCTCCATGTCTAGTTGGCAGCCAGTATCAAGTGGAGTGTCAAAGGGTCAGTCATGGGGCTGGTTTTGTTCAATATCTTCATGAATGAACTGGAGGATGGCATAGATTGCACTCTCAGCAAGTCTGCAGATGACACTAAACTGGGAGGAGTGGTAGATACGCTAGAGGGTAGGGTTATGATACCGAGAGACCTAGCCAAATTAGAGGATTGAGCCAAAAGAAATCTGATGAGGTTCAACAAGGACAAGTGCAGAGTCCTGCACTTAGGACAGAAGAATCCCATGCACCGCTACAGACTAGGGACCGAGTGGCTAGGCAGCAGTTCTGCAGAAAAGGACCTAGGGGTTACAGTGGATGAGAAGCTGGATATGAGTCAACAGTGTGCCCTTGTTGCCAAGAAGGCTAACAGCATTTTGGGCTGTATAAGTAGGAGCATTGCCAGCAGATAGAGGGACATGATCATTCCCCTCTATTCAGCATTGGTGAGGCCTCATCAGGGAGTACTGTCATAGAATCACAGAATATCAGGGTTGGAAGGGACCTCAGGAGGTCATTTAGTCCAACCCCCTGCTCAAAGCAGGACCAATCCCCAATTTTTGCCCCAGATCTCTAAATGGCCCTCTCAAGGATTGAACTCACAACCCTGGGTTTAGCAAGCCAATGCTCAAACCACTGAGCTATCCCTCCCCCCATGTCCAGTTTTGGGCCCCAGACTACAGGAAGGATGTGGAAAAATTTGAAAGAGTCCAGCGGAGGGCAACAAAAATGATTAGGGGGCTGGAGCATGTGACTTCTGAGGAGAGGCTGAGGGAACTGGGATTATTTAGACTGCAGAAGAGAAGAATGAGGGGGGATTTGATAGCTGCTTTCAACTACCTGAAAGGGGGCTCCAAAGAGGATAGAGCTAGACTGTTCTCAGTGGTACCAGATGACAGAACAAGGAGTAATGGTCTCAAGTTGCAGTGGGAGAGGTTTAGGTTGGATATTAGAAAAACCTTTTTCACTAGGAGGGTGGGGAAGCACTGGAATGGGTTACTAGGGAGGTGGTGGAATCTCCTTCCTTAGAGGTTTTTAAAGTCAGGCTTGACAAAGCCAGGGCTGGGATGATTTAGTTGGGGATCGGTCCAGCTTTGAGCAGGGGGTTGGACTAGATGACCTCCTGAGGTTCCTTCCAACCCTGATATTCTATGATTCTATGATCCTGACACACCCACATGAAGGAAAGGGAGTTTAGACCTTTGAACACTGCCTAGAAAAGCCACTCAGGCTCTGGTACCAGTAGAATCAACAAGACTTGGTCCTCCAGGGGCTAGAATCATATAACCATAGGGTTAGAAGGGACTACAAGGGTCATCTAGTCAAAGCCCCAGAAGGCTGGGAGGAGGCAGTAGCCAATCAGGACTCAGCAAGATAAGAAGGCTTGCCTGCTTCTTCTAAGGGGAAGTGTTGGGTGAAGGTGGAGAGGAGAGGAGTTCCCATGTCCTTACCCAAAACACCAACGGCAGGGCCTAACAATCTCACTCCACCGTCAGTTAAAGCATGTGACAAATTGCTTATTTTGTTGTGGCATTTAAAAGCCCATGGGGCCATTTTTAGTTGAACTTCAATTAACTGTTACAGGACTAGCAAGGGGCTAACTACATGAGATGCTTTGCTCCTGGCACGCTTTGATAGGGACATTCAATGGACCGGAAAGGCAGCAAATTTAAGAATACAAGGTGTCACAGGATGACTGTCCCTTTACAGGGAGATGGGTCCAGCCCTACTTGTGACACAGTTAGCTCACCTCCCAGGGGGACCAAATGAGCAAAGTCACATAACAGGTAGATCATGTGGCTCAATCACATCTCTGGGGTGGAGATTAGACAGAAGCATGGGGAGAGCAGGGAGACTCCAGGGAGGAAGCCCTGGGAGTTGCTGCTCAGTAGCAAATAGGGAGAGACTCAAAAGGAGCACAGAAGAGCCGGAGGGGTGAGAGCAAAGCCCAGACAGTGGACTGAGCAGCATTTGAAGTTTGAAGAGGGAAGACAGACTGATTGTCAGGAAGGATGGGCTCTGCCCAGTTTGAGATTGGGGATGGAAGACTCTTCTATTTGTTTTGGACTTGGATATCCTGGAATGGGTGGACTTTTTCCTTTTATGACTTGGGTGAAGAGCCAAGTCACTGCAGCAACCAAACCAGGGCTGGAAGGTCAGGAGATTCAACCCGAGTGAGAAGAAACTGAGGCAGTGACTGGCCCACAGCCAGACCAAGTAGGCAGCACTGCTACCTAAGGAAGCTTTTTTAAAAACACAAGCCATAATTATCCTGTGGAACTCATTGGCACAAGATGTTCTGGAAGCCAAGCATTTAGTAGGATTTTTAAAAGAATTAGACATTTATATGGATATTAAGTACATCCACAGTTACATTTGAAAGGATTAAAAGGTACAAGAGCTATAAACCCTAATGTTAGAGGACATAAAACCAATCATCAGTTGTTTTGTATTTTATATGCATATAAAATTTCTCCCTTATGAGGTTCTTATATCCTCTCTCCTGAACGCCAGTTATATAATATTCTTTATAAGTTTACTGTGGCCCATTAAAGAGAGTGATTTGCACTTTGAACCCCTGTATTTTTCAGCCTGACACCTGCTCCGTAGAAGAAAAAAATTCCATATTCTTTAAATATTTCTGCATGAGTATAGAAACAGCTTTTTCAAGCTGCAATGTAGTGTGCATGCCAAGCATCTCAGATTAAAATCTGCTTCACAGCTGGGAAAATGAATAGCGGGTAAGGTCCCAAGGGCAGAGGAGAACCTTATGAGCAATGCTGTACAGTAAGAATAGAGAATACGTGAATATAACCTAGAACTCCTTCATGACATCTGTCAAGGTTCCTTCTCCACTCTGAATCTAGGGTACAGATGTGGGAACCTGGATGAAAGACCCCCTAAGCTCATTCTTACCAGTTTAGGTTAAAAACTTCCCCAAGGTACAAACTTTGCCTTGTCCTTGAACCATATGCTGCCACCACCAACCGTTTTAAACAAAGAACAGGGGAAGAGCCCACTTGGACACGTCTTCCCCCAAAATATCCCCCCAAGCCCTACACCCCCTTTCCTGGGGAAGGCTTGATAATAATCCTCACCAATTGTTACAGGTGAACACAGACCCAAACCCTTGGATCTTAAGAACAATGAAAAATCAATCAGGTTCTTAAAAGAAGAATTTTAATTAAAGAAAAGGTAAAAGAATTACCTCTGTACAATCAGGATGGTAAATACCTTACAGGGTAATCAGACTCAAAACAGAGAATCCCTCTAGGCAAAAACCTTAAGTTACAAAAAGACACAGCTTATTTTACCAGCCATTAAACAAAAGAAAATCTAATGCATATTCTAGCTAGATTACGTACTAACTTTACAGGAGTTGTAAGGCTGCATTCCTGATCTGTTCCCGGCAAAAGCATCATACAGACAGATCCTTTGTTCCACCCCGCCCTCCAGATTTGAAAGTATCTTGCCCCTCATCGGTCATTTTGGGTCAGGTGCCAGCGAGGTTACCGTAGCTTCTTAACCCTTTACTGGTGAACGGGTTTTGTCTCTGGCCAGGAGGGATTTTATAGCACTGTATACAGAAAGGTCGTTACCCTTCCCTTTATATTTATGACAACATCCATCCAGATTGTAGAGGGCTGCTTCAAACATGGAATTATTCAGAGCTGGAAAACACAAGAACATAGGAGTCCCAGATTGGATCAAGCCAGTAGTCTGTTTAGTCCAATATCCTGTCATCAAGAGCAGCTGGTACCAGATACTTCAGGGAAGGTGCAGAAACCTTGCAACAGACAGTTCTGAGATAAACTGCTCCAGGGAAATTTTTCTCCTGATCCCCAACAGACAGAGGCTGTCTTAATCCCTGAAGCTTGAAGGTTTTCTAAAACTGTTGTTTATTTTTTAATGGAACACAATGCAGAGTGACCTGCTGTGGTTGGGGAACAGGGAGAGAAGAGATGGGGCCTCTTATAAAAGCATATACTAAATCCCCTGTAAATCAGACAATACATTCATACCCTTCTCTCCACCACTCCCATGTCCAGCCCTCTGATCTCATAAGCTAAATAGGGTAAGGCCTGGGCAGTACTTGGATGGGAGGCCCCAGTGCAATATCAGTATTGAAATTGCCAGACTTGCAAAAATGCATAGGAAAAAAAGGGCACCCTGTCAGGTCACCGTGCCAATATGTGCTTGTTTAACTAAGGCCACAAAGTATGGAAACACTTCAAAGTAAATGGAGGCAGGAATTAGGGATTCCTGCCCCCTCCGGATCCCAGATACACAAGTTACAAAAAAGACCTCAATGGATCTGTCTTCTGTTTCACCACAAAATAATTTTCAGGTATATTTGACTCCAAACTCTGCATGAAATCCTGACCTCACTAAAGTCAAGGACAGTTTTTCAACTCACTTTAGTGAGGTCAGGATTTCATCCAATATATATAAAGTAGGAATTAAAGACTCATAGGTGTTAGAGATGTGGATGGGCCTGCATTACGAACTGATCCAAAGCCCAGTGAACTCAATGGACTTTAGATCAGGTAATAAGTGATCACAAAAACACTGATTCTCAGAAACAATATCAGACACTAAAGCACCGGAAACCACCTTTGCCTCCCAATGCATAGAAGTGGATTGAGTGACAGCTTTAGGAAGTGCAGTATATGATCAAAGTGAATAACTCTACAAATGTGATGAAATTTGGTCTCTAATTTTAGAACTGTTTGACAGATAGCTATGTACAGGGAGCATTATTACCAAGCCTATTGAAACAGAGCTGGGGACAGTTTCAGGCTGATGTCATTCTTGTGTGATGACAATTTCCTAGCTCTGTGTGGTATTTCTTCTGGCTAACATCCTGTGTTCTGCATGTCATTATTTCTTTGTTTCCTGTGGTTTCTCTTTCCACTTTGATCTGGTCATTTATCTGAATTTTCTTATAACAAAGCAGAAAACAAGTGTAACATTATTTTATGACATGATGAATATAGCTTTATATTGTACTTTCGTATTTTTCCTTAGCTCATTGCAACCGATGACACATTTTTCCTTTGCACAATATGCACATTTAAGTAAAACATAAAAGGCTTATTTTTTAAACAGAATAAATGTATTTCCATCATGAATAACTCAAAAACTGAATGGATTTTCCTCAAACTTAAAAATAATTCACCCTTTGGTGTGACACAGTGTGTGGAAGTTTTCATCCCTAAATGAGACTTATTTTTTAATTAAATGATGATTTATAATGGAAGCTCAGTGATGACCTTATAATATAGAGTGCACATTTAGATAGATGGGCTCATTTTTCTAGCAAGAACAATAATAAGCTACAGTTCCTAAAGTTAATATGGTCCCCCAAAATGCTTTCCTAATACATGTAGATCCTGTCCTGTATAACAGTCTTCCTGATAGTCTGTATACATCATAGTCTTGAGTTTCAACAAAGTATTAAGCCCAATGATTTTGCACCATAAAGACAGTAATTTGCTACACAAGTCAACATTTCAGATTGTCTAATACTCTCTCTCTCTACTGGCAGACTAGTCCAGCGTGGCATATTTTTAACCTGTCCTTGGACAGTTGCCCATTGTAAACAAGCTGCCTTAGCTAGGATAACCTCATGATAGCTTTTAAATAAATACTGGAATTTTGCTGATTATTTAACAGTGAGACAAGAAGTCACATTAGGGCTAAGAACAGTAGCAAATCTTGGGCCAGCCAGTTGAATCAACACAGAATTTTGCAATGGGGAATTCAGATTGTACAGAAAACTCAGAACTCAGCATCATTACTGCCATGGAAATGAACATGTTGATCCTGCAGGTCTTCAACCATAGCACTGCTATTAACAGAGAGCTCTGTGTTAAGAGCTCCAGGAGGCACTGGGCCTCACTAAGGGGGCAGTATCTCCTTGAACTTCCTGGAATATAGGACAGTATAGTTGCTCACCCTTAGGAAGACGCAGCATGCCCTTCCCTCTGAAATATGCCAGTCCTGCTGGCTGCTGTAGAGTTCAGGGCAAGGACTCACCTGCTGTCTGCCCCCTTTGAGGTAACTAGTCCATTAGCCTTTTGCAGTCCCTGTGCCAAAGTGAATCATTGTTGAATTTACACCAAACATATCCAACAGAAAACCATCTCTCTCATCATCTGTGCTGAGAATACCTCCCTTCTTTCCTTTATCACCAGCACTAAGGTTTCTCATCTGTTCCCTACCTTTAACCCCACCATATGCCCCTGCCCTCCCACCACCACTCTCTCCTCTAACTTCCCAGACTTTTTAGACTGCATCCCCTACTTTCCTCATACCCAAAGTCTGACCCTTAGCCCTACCTGTGTCTCCCTCTACTGCTCTATTTTCCTTCTTCCTGTCAGTTCTGTCACTCATTAAATGTGTCGTTTTCCAACACAGTCTTGAGTTTCAATCATGCAACTCCATCCTGGCTCCCCTCCAGTCAGGCTTCTGCCCGCTCCATTTCAATAAAACTGCTGTCACCAAGATTTCTAACTACTTTTTCTTGGCAAATCCCAGGGACTGTCTTCCTTCCTCATCTTCCTTGACCTCTATTACTTTTACTCGGCACCTCTGAAAAATCAGGTAAATTGGGCACTGTTAACTGGTCAGTTCCATTCTGCAGAGCCTCCTTGCAACAAGCTTGCCTGAGTTTCCCTCCTTCTCTCTGATGGCCACTTCACCATCAAACTTGCTGATTCGCCCTCTGTCACAACCTCAGCCCTCCAACCAGGTTGTTAGTAGTGCTTTCCCCTTTCAGAGTGCAAAGAAGTCCAATGCCTTGGTAGGCCAGCTGCCCAAGCTGAGGGCACGTAGCCCCTGGCCTCCTTGAGTGTGGCCCACTTGCTCAAGGCCTTAATAAACTCTCTTGCAGGGTCTGGTAGAGGAAGCCAGGACCCCCGCCTCTCTCTGGGCTCCAGGCCAGACTCTACCTAAAGTGGTTGGTACCAACCACTTCCAACCGTTCACTGTTTCCTTGGCCTGCTTCCTACTGTGCTGCTCGTGGAGAATGTTCCTCTGATTCACCCTATGGGCCTCTACTTCTGACATCCTGGTTTCACGGTTGGCTTTTCATGGTCTATTACTCACATCCCCTGCTTTCAGGGCTTCCCTGGCACCCAAGCAGCTATATTCCAAACTGACCTTACGGTTTCCTTCCTTAAGGCTGGAGTTTCCGTCAGCCCTCCTTGTGGAGCTGGAGTTATGGCTCAACCTGGCAATATCTCCCTCCTTCAGACAGGAGTTCCCCACACCTATCCTACAGGAAGCTGGGGTGGTGGTTAAAGCCAGCTGCAGGACTTTAGCTTCATCTTCAGCGGGACCCTTTTTTCCAATTAGTCCTCCAGCTTGGAGAGTTCAGCAAGCCAATCTTCTCCTGCTGATGCTTCCCTTGCTACCAGGCTGTGTGTGTGACAGGGGGAGTATATACGCTAATCCCCTTCCTGAACATTCATCTCAGTTGGCTGGGAGAGGAGAGCCTTGCCCCACCATTCTGCAATGCTCCTCATCTCAGGCCTTTAAAAATACAGTAAGGATTCCTTCCAAACACTACTTACTACGTATTTCCTCTCTCCTCATATCTCCTCGATCTTTGTGTATCTAATCAACCCAAACTCTTAAAGGGCCTTGGCGCATGACAGGGATGAGCTGATCATTAGGAACCACTACATTTATAAAGGGGCGGGTCACCCCATCACAGGCATCTAAAATTATTGGCTCTTCCTATATACTTTTGGCCTTAACCTCTCTGTAGATGTGGCTCCTGGTCTACCTCACACAGGTGCTGTGCACATAATTTCATTGATATTTGTGAGATACTCCAACGCTGTGGTAATGAGATCCACAGAAAACTACAAAAGTAAATTAATAATTGCATATTCAGTGCACGGTTTGGATGGTGTGGGCCACAAACTGAATGATGAAGATAAAAAGGAATGTTGTAACTTCTTTCTCCCTCCCTGAGCACTGTCCATCCTGCACACCGAATTAGGCACCATCTTGTAGGAACAACGGTGCGATTAAAGATTATAATAACACATACGTACAAGAGGTTGATCTTAATTCTGGCATTTCTTGAACTCTGCTTGACTTTACAACCCTAGCACTCTTGTAACATAGATTTTTGTATGTAATATACTATAAATATCTACCTCTTCAATACAAAAATAAAAAGTCAGAGGTGTGCAGCTGAGAGTTAAATCTAGAAAGATGTCTGCATCTAAAAGCCATCACACTCTATGAGGCAGTAAAGAGAGTAAACTCAAAAAATATTCAGGGTAAGTGAGATCCTGGTAAAGAAAGTCATTTAGCAAGATGAAGTCTAAGTGAAATAAATGAACCCAAAATATGCTCTTTGCATGCACAAAATAATAAATCTGTTCAGTGAGTTTGAACCCAATTTTCCAAATTAACAACTTTAGAATCATAACAGAAATGTGAGAGAGACAGCAAAGAATTTCCATAACCCCAAAGAGTTTCAGAGCAAAATCAATCATATTCCAGCATCAGACAAGCATTTAGGCACCAAATCAGCAAAACACTTAAGCATGTTGAATTGGAGCCTTAGAAAACAGAGATTTAAAAAACCCTCATAACTGGGAAAGGGAGAGAAATGATTCAATAGACCCCAAGAAAAAATTTCAGAGAACACGGAAAAATTATTCGCAAAAAAAAAAGGAGTACTTGTGGCACCTTAGAGACTAACAAATTTATTTGAGCATAAGCTTTCGTGAGCTACAGCTCACTTCATTGGATGCATTCAGTGGAAAATACAATGGGGAGATTTATATACATAGAGAACATGAAACAATGGGTGTTACCATACACACTGTAACAAGAGAGTGATCACTTAAGGTGAGCTATTACCAGCAGGAGAGCGGGGTGGAGGGGGAACCTTTTGTAGCGATAATCAAGGAGGGCTATTTCCAGAAGTTGACAAGAACGTCTGAGGAACAGTGGGGGGTGGAGGGGGGGGGAATAAACATGGGGAAATAGTTTTACTTTGTGTAATGACACATCCACTCCCAGTCTCTATTCAAGCCTAAGTTAATTGTACCCAGTTGCAAATTAATTCCAATTCAGCAGTCTCGCATTGGAGTCTGTTTTTGAAGTTTTTTTGTTGAAGAATTGCCACTTTTAGGTCTGTAATCGAGTGACCGAAGAGACTGAAGTGTTCTCCCAACTAGTTTTTGAATGTTATAATTCTTGACGTCTGATTTGTGTCCATTTATGCTTTTACGTAGAGACTGTCCAGTTTGACCAATGTACATGGCAGAGGGGCATTGCTGGCACGTGATGGCATATATCACATTAGTAGATGTGCAGGTGAACATCTGATAGTGTGGCTGATGTGATTAGGCCCTATGACGGTGTCCCCTGAATAGATATGTGGGCACAGTTGGCAACGGGCTTTCGTGCAAGAATAGGTTCCTGGGTTAGTGGTTCTGTTGTGTGGTGTGTGGTTGCTGGTGAGTATTTGCTTCAGGTTGGGGGGGCTGTCTGTAAGCAAGGACTGGCCTGTCTCCCAAGACCTGTGAGAGTGATGGGTCTTCCTTCAGGATAGGTTGTAGATCCTTGATGATGCGTTGGAGAGGTTTTAGTTGGGGGCTGAAGGGGATGGCTAGTGGCGTTCTGTTATTTTCTTTGTTGGGCCTGTCCTGGAGTAGGTAACTTCTGGGTACTCTTCTGGCTCTGTCAAACTGTTTCTTCACTTCCACAGGTGAGTATTGTAGTTGTAAGAATGCTTGATAGAGATCTTGTAGGTGTTTGCTCTGTCTATGGGGTTGGAGCAAATGCGGTTGTATCGTAGAGCTTAGCTGTAAACAATGGATCGTGTGGTGTGGTCTGGATGAAAGCTGGAGGCATGTAGGTCAGCATAGCGGTCAGTAGGTTTTCGGTATAGGGTGGTGTTTATGTGACCATCGCATATTAGCACTGTAGTGTCCAGGAAGTGGATCTCTTGTGTGGACTGATCCAGGCTGAGGTTGATGGTGGGATGGAAATTGTTGAAATCATGGTGGAATTCCTCAAGGGCTTCTTTTCCATGGGTCCAGACGATGAAGATGTCATCAATGTAGCGCAAGTAGAGTAGGGGCATAAGGGGACGAGAGCTGAGGAAAAATTATTAATGCCTCAAATTAGCAATTTGCTGCAAATCCTAAAATTCAACAGGAATGCAGAAGTTAGCAGGGCCCAGGGATTATCCCTCATATACAAAAGTAAAAGCAAATCCAAGCAGTTGAAGATTTTGCAATGTCAATAAATCAAACAGCCACAGGAGTACCAGTACTAACACTAAATAAAACATGTACAGAAAGAGGATTTCCTAATCGACTGTACAGTCTTGAAACTGAGCAACTGACCTGCAGAGGAGTTCTGATATTACCAGAAAAGTTCTAGAAAGATTTGCAAAAAAACATATGGAAACCAGGAAAAATACAAAGTTTTACTGGGAAGTTAAAATTCCTACAGCAACATTAAAACTGCCACATAACATTTAACAGCATATACACTCATCCAAAATACTAATTATGACATGTGAACAAGGTAGACGACTTAATGTTGCTATTGGAACCTTACCATTTCCATTTGCTAACTTTTGCACATTACAATTCCTGCCTTAATTCTGCATTAACAGCTTTGTGCACCAAATTTCCATTTAAAATATAAGAAAACCTTTATAGCAGAAGTAGAGCAGGTTCAGAGACAGATGACATGAATGAATAAAGGCCTGAAAAAACTGCCACAGGAAGAGAGATTGAAAATATTAAGATAGCATACTTAAGAGAGGAAATGAATATGGGGGGATATGATAAAAGGTAAAAAAAATAATGAATAGAATAGACAGTATAGACTTGGAACTACTGTCTCAGAATACAAGAACAAAAGAACAGTCAACGAAATTGATAGTTGCATATATAAAACTGATAAAAATATTTTTCATACAACACAATTAACACATGGGTCTCATTGTCCCAAGATAGCACTGAGGCCAATTGCTTGGCAGGATTCAAAAAATAATTGCACATTTGTATGCATAACAAGACTATACGTTAAAATAGTAATGGTTAAAATAAAAGAAGAGTGAAACAAGAATTCTGGAAGGAATATAAATTGTCCTGCTTTATAGCATAAACAAGCCTTTAACTATGGGATTAGGAAAAATCTTTCCATATGGTCCAATTATTCCATATTTGCCTACTGTAGGACTTCTTGCACCTTCCTCTGAAACATCTAGTATTGATCCCTGTCAATGACAAGATAGTGGGCTAGATGGCCCACTGGTCTGATCCAATACAACAATTCCTGTGTCTACATTACGAAATTAGGTTGATTTTATAGAAGTCGATTTTTAGAAATTGATTTTATACATTCGATTGTGTATGTCCCCGCTCAAGTGCATTAAGTTGGCAGTGTGTGTCCTCAATACCATGGCTAGCATCTATTTACAGAGCATTGGACTGTGAGTAGCTATCCCACAGTTCCCGCAGTCTCCCCTGCCCATTGGAATTCTGGGTTAAGCTCCCAATGCCTGATGGGGCAAAAACATTGTTGCGGGTGGTTTTGGGTACATGTTGTCAGTCGCCCCTTCCTCCCTGAAAGCAACAGCAGAAAATCATTTCGAGCCTTTTTTCCTGGGTTACCTGTGCAGATGCCATACCACAGCAAGCATGGAGCCCGCTCAGCTCACTGCTGCTGTGAGCACTGTAAACACCTCACACATTATCCTGGAGTATGTGCAGAACCGGGCTAAGAGACGCCAGCACGAGGACGATTATGATGAGGACATGGACACAGACGTTCGGGAAGCACAGGCTGTGGCAATTTGGACATCATGGCAGCAGTGGGGCTGGTTGATACAGTGGAAAGCTGATTCTGGGCCTGGCAAACAAGCACAGATTGGTGGGACTGCACAGTGTTGCAGGTATGGGATGATTCACAATGGCTGCAAAACTTTCGCAGGCGTAAGGCCACTTTCCTTGAACTTTGTGAGTTGCTTTCCCCCGCCCTGAAGCACAGGAATACCAAGATGAGAGCTGCCCTGACAGTTAAGAAGCGAGTGGCGATAGCCCTGTGGAAGCTTGCAACGCCTGACTGCTACTGGTCACCCGGGAATCAATTTGCAGTGTGCAAGTCTACTGTGGGGACTCCTGTGATCCAAATAGCCAATGCAATCACTGACGTTCTGATATCAAGTGTAGCGACTCTAGGAAATGTGCAGGTCATACTGGATGGCTTTGCTGCAATGGGGTTCCCTAACTGTCGTGGGGTGATAGACGGAACACATATCCTTATCTTCGTACCTAACCACCTTGCCAACCAGTACGTAAACCGCAAGGGGTACTTCTCAATGGTGCTGCAAGCACTGGTGGATCACAAGGAATGGTTCACCAACATCAATGTGGGATGGCCGGGAAAGGTGCATGCTCGCATCTTTAGGAACTCCGGACTGTTCGAGCAGTTGCAAGAAGGGACTTACTTTCCAGACCAGAAAATTACCGTTGGGAATGTTGAAATGCCAATATTTATCCTTGGGGACCCAGCCTACCCCTTGCTCCCATGGCTCATGAAGCCATACACAGGCAGCCTGGACAGTAGTAAGGAGCAGTTCAACCATAGGCCGAGCAAGTGCAGAATGGTGGTAGAATGTGCCTTTGGACATTTAAAAGCTCACTGGCACTGTTTGCTGACTAGGTTAGACCTCAGCACAACCAGCTTTCCCATTGTTATTGCTGCTTGCTGTGTGCTCCATAATATCTACGAGAGTAAGGGAGAAACATTTATGGCAGGGTGGGAGGTTGAGGCAAATCGCCTGGCGGCCGATTTTGAGCAGACAGACACCAGGGCGATTAGAAGAGCACAGCTAAGCATGCTGCACATCAGAGAGGCTTTGAAAACCAGTTTCATGACTGGCCAGGCTACAGTGTGACAGTTGTGTGTGTTTCTCCTTCCTGGAAACCCACCCCCTTTGTAGATTTTAATTCTCTGTAAGCCAAACACCCTCACCTCTTCGACCTGGCAAAGAAAATAAAGTAATTATTGTTTTGAAACCATTCATTCTTTATTAATTAAAAAAACAGTGAGATATCTGACAAGGTGGCCTGGGTGGAGTGCAGTGCAGGAGGAGGGAAGGACAAGGCCACATTGCTTATTGTAGCCACACTACAAATCAAAACTGTTTGAACGACAGCCTTCTGTTGCTTGGGCCATCCTCTGGAGTGGAGTGGCTGGGTGTCGTCGTCCCCCCGCGTTCTTGGGCATCTGGGTGAGGAGGATATGGAACTTGGGGAGGAGGGCAGGAGGTTATACAATGGATACAGCGGGGGTCTGTGCTCTTGTTGGCTTTCTTGCAGCTCCAACAGATGCTTCATCATGTCCATTTGCTCCCCCATTAGCCTCAGTATCGCCTCCTGCCTCTGCTCTTCACGCTCACTTAATGCTTTCCTGGCCTCTGCCACTGAATGCCTCCATGCATTAAGTTGTGCCCTATCAGTGCGGGAGGACTGCATGAGCTCGGAAAACATGTCATCGCAAGTCCATTTTTTTCGCCTTCTGATCTGCAATAACCTCAGGGATGGAGATGATAGTGGGAGCATAAAAATATTTGCACCTGGGGGGAGATAAAAAGGGAGAGTAAAATTTAAGATGATACCAAGTGCAAACAACCCAGCATGAACAGGGTCCTTTTCCTGTTCCCTTACAAAAATTCCCCTATTTCAACCAGGTGACCATGAATAATATCACTCTTCTGAGGCTAACACAGAAAGATATAGACCGAATGTTGCTTGAATGCGACCAAAACCCAGGACCATTCACTGCCATGCTTTGTGCTGCAATGATTCCAGACTACTTGCTACTGGCTTGGTGTGGTAAAGTGGCCTACCGTGGAGGACGAAATAAGGCAGCCCTCCCCAGAAACCTTCTGCAAAGGCTTTCAGAGTACCTCCAGGAGAGCTTTATGGACATGTCCCTGGAGGATTCCTGCTCCATCCCCAGACACGTTAACAGACTTTTCCAGTAGCTGTACTGGCTGCAAATGCATCCCAATTCTTCAGGGCAAATCAAACATTAAACACTATTGCTTTTAAACCCTGTACTGTAATTACAAATGTGCACTCACCAGAGCTGCCTTCTCTGGCTTCAGGGTTGGGGATCCCACCTTGGGAGGGTATTGACTCCATGGTGATGAAAAGGTCCTGGCTGCAAGGGAGAACGGATTCACCGCTTGCCTGCTGCGCATTCTCCTCCTCCTCCTCTTCTTCCTCATCCACAAATCCTCCTCCCTGTTGCATGAGACTCCCCCCTTGCAGGTGTCCATGGACAGTGGTGGGGTAGTGGTATGGTCCCCCCCTAGAATGCCATGCAGCTGATCATAGAAGCGGCATGCATGGGGCTCTGACCTGGAGCGACCGTTTGCCTCCTTTGTCTTTTGGTAGGCTTGCTTGAGCTCCTTAACTTTCACATGGCACTGCTGTGTGTTCCTGTTGTAGCCTCTCTCCACCATGCCCTGTGCGATTTTGGCATATAATTAGCATTTCTTCTTTTTGATCAGAGTTCGGCCTGCACAGATTCTTCTCCCCATACAGCAATCAGATCCAGTGTCTCCCTTTTGGTCCATGCTGGAGCTTGTTTGCGATTCTGGGAGGACTGCATGGTCACCTCTACTGCTGAGCTCGCAACACTGACCAAACAGGAAATTAAATTCAAAATTTCCCGCGGGGCTTTTCCTGTGTACCTGGTTAGTGCATCGGAGTTCAAAGTGCTGTCCAGAGTGGTAACATTGGACCGCTCTGGGATATCTCCCGGAGGCCAATACCATTGAATTGTGTCTGCACTACCCCAAATTCGACTCAGCAAGGTCGATTTTAGTGTTACTCTCCTCGCCAGGGAGGAGTACAGAAGTTGATTTTAAGAGCCCTTTAGGTCAACAGAACAGGGTTGGTTGCGTAGATGCATTCATTTTAAAATTGACCTAATGCGGCTAAATTCAACCTAACCCCATAGTGTAGACCAGGGCTATGTATATTTAATCTATGTGCAGGTATAACAGACATACTCACATGGTTAAAACAAGAAAACAGCTCTTTTTTTTACTTTCACTGTGGTTGTAAATAACTGAAAACTGATTAACACCCAGGTGGTATGTCAAACAACTACTGCAGTTCCCACCTTGCTGCTCCTGCTGTTTCAGACATTCACACAATAGGGCAGGTGCTAAAAAAAAGCACAACTTCTGTTCCACTTGGCTTCTTTTGCTTAGAAGAATTACCAACTTGACTATTTCTTCTTATTTTCATGTTGGTAATGTAATCCTGCCATGGAATTTTGAATGCAAGGAGGAGTATCAAATTTTATGGTCTCTCTGCCTTCCTAGAGCCTGGAAGTGAAAGCATCATGAAAACTCATGTGAAAATGTATTCACACCCAAATATTCATGGAAATACGTAGTCACATAAATAATGATGTTGGAAGTGTTTTGTGCAGCCATCTTGATGTTCTTTTGGGGCTTCAGAGGTCATCTAATCAGAAAACACAAACAATACTGTGACACTATGCCCCATATTCTTCATAGAGATATTATTATGATATGGTTATGGCATAACTATGATGTATTTTATATAAGATAGGTCATGTGAGATATCATTGTAAAGGTTATGACTTACTGAATATGATTATCCTATTTGTACCCATGTATCATTTTGGTATCTGAAGTTAGGAATATTGTCTATGTATCTATTACAAATGTGTTCACACTTGGGAAACTCCCACTAGGCAAAAGACTGTCAGTCTAGATGGCTAGCTGGGAACAACAGCCCATTCAACTCAATGGACCATTGGGGGAACAATAGGTCTTAGAAGAAGTTCGTCTCCCACTGGGGAGCCTTTCTGAGGACACTATAAACAACTTTCAGTCATGGGTGGTATGACACTACAGGGGCATGTGACTACATCACCTGGTGCTGGACTCCATCTTGGAATACCAGTGTTTTCCACTGAAAGGCGTGGGAACTAAGCTTGGAGACAAAGGGTTCCCACCACACCCAAAAGCTATTTAAAGTAGGGGAGTGACATCATTGTGGTTCTTCACTGACTTCCCACTGAAAGGAGACTCTTGGAAACACCTGAGAAACAAGGACTGAACTGGGGGGGGGGGGGAGGAGTGCTGGATCCAGGCTAGAGGGATTTCTAGTCTGTGAAAAGAATACCTGGGGCTTTTAAGCTTCAAGCAAGTGCAGCTTGCCCCTTAAGAGCCTGCAGCCAGCTTAAATCATCATTTAGGGTAAGAATCTGCTAACTTATATCCAATCTCTTTAGTATATTAAGCTTAGATTGCATTTTTGATTATTTGCTAGGTAACCTGCTTTGATCTGTTTGCTATCTCTTGTAATCACTTAAAATCTATCTTTTGTAGTTAATAAATTTATTTTTGCTTTGTCTAAAACCAGTGTTTTTGGGAATCATAACTTGGTGCAGAAAGCTCTATATAGTCCTCTCCACATTGAGGGAGGAGGCGAATTTCATGAACTTATGCGGTACAGTTCTTTGTGCAGTGCAAGATGGTATAATTTTGGGTTTACCCTCCAGAGAAGGATGTGCACTTGAGTAGCTCAGCAGTTCCTTAGCTGAAGCCTTCCCATGCACAGCTGATCTCAACATCTGTCTCTAGCTGCAGTTGGGTGTGTCTCTACCTGTATGTGTGCTGGAGGCGGCTTGAGGGCCTGTCACAGCAATACAGTGTAAAGGGAGTCCAGGCTGGTGGGTCAGATGGGCTCAGTGGCACCCCAGTTCCAGGTGACACTCTGGGGGGAATCCATCACAAATACTACTAAGAACAACTACTCATAGCAACAATCGTGGGGAATATTTCATAAACAAACAATAGGTTGAAATATGATTGAGTCATCCAATTATCAAATATTTGTAATTAATGAACAAATCTGTAAAAATCATTCTGTTCATAGACTCCTGAAGAAAACAAGAGGCATATTCATTGAATAAAGTGTTCACCCACCCCTAACCCAGAGTGAAAAGCAGGAGAGCGGGGGGGAAAAACCTTTTGTAGTGATAATCAAGGTGGGCCATTTCCAGCAGTTGACAAGAATGTCTGAGGAACAGTAGGGGCGGAAATAAACATGGGGAAATAGTTTTACTTTGTGTAATGACACATCCACTCCCAGTCTCTATTCAAGCCTAAGTTAATTGTATCCAGTTTGCAAATTAATTCTAATTCAGCAGTCTCGCATTGGAGTCTGTTTTTGAAGTTTTTTTGTTGAAGAATTGCCACTTTTAGGTCTGTAATCAAGTGACCAGTCGGAGAACACTTCAATCTCTTTGGTTTTTGAATGTTATAATTCTTGACGTCTGATTTGTGTCCGTTTATTCTTTTATGTAGAGACTGTCAAGTTTGGACAATGCACATGGCAGAGGGGCATTGCCGGCACATGATGGCATATATCACATTAGTAGATGTGCAGGTGAACGAGCCTCTGATAGTGTGGCTAATGTGATTAGGCCCTATGATGGTGTCCCCTGAATAGATATGTGGGCACAGTTGACAACGGGCTTTGTTGCAAGGATAGGTTCCTGCGTTAGTGGTTCTGTTGTGTGATGTGTGGTTGCTGGTGAGTATTTGCTTCAGGTTGGGGGGCTGTCTGTAAGCAAGGACTGGCCTGTCTCCCAAGATCAGTGAGAGTGATGGGTCGTCCTTCAGGATAGGTTGTAGATCCTTGATGATGCGTTGGAGAGGTTTTAGTTGGGGGCTGAAGGGGATGGCTAGTGGTGTTCTGTTATTTTCTTTGTTGGGCCTGTCCTGTAGTGGGTAACTTCTGGGTACTCTTCTGGCTCTGTTAATCTGTTTCTTCACTTCAGCAGGTGGGCATTGTAGTTGTAAGACGGCTTGATAGAGATCTTGTAGGTGTTTGTCTCTGTCTGACGGGTTGGAGCAAATGCAGTTGTATCATAGAGCTTGGCTGTAGACAATGGATCGTGTGGTGTGGTCTGGATGAAAGCTGGAGGCATGTAGGTAGGCATAGCGGTCAGTAGGTTTCTGGTATAGGGTGGTGTTTATGTGACCATTGCTTATTAGCACCGTAGTGTCCAGGAAGCTTGATATCGCCAGCCAACTAGACATGGAGCCATGAATCACTACCCGTTGAGCCTGACAATCTAGCCAGCTTTCTATCCACCTTATCGTCCATTCATCCAGCCCATACTTCTTTAACTTGCTGGCAAGAATACTGTGGGAGACCGTGTCAAAAGCTTTGCTAAAGTCAAGGAATCACATGTCCACTGCTTTCCCCTCATCCACAGAGCGAGTTATATCATCATAGAAGGCAATTAGATTAGTCAGGCATGACTTGCCCTTCGTGAATCCATGCTGACTGTTCCTGATCACTTCCCTCTCCTCTAAGTGCTTCAGAATTGATTCCTTGAGGACCTGCTCCATGATTTTTCCAGGGACTGAGGTGAGGCTGACTGGCCTGTAGTTCCCAGGATCCTCCTTCTTCCCTTTTTTAAAGATGGGCTCTACATTAGCCTTTTTCCAGTCGTCCAGGGCCTCCCCCAATTGCCATGAGTTTTCAAAGATAATGGCCAATGGCTCTGCAATCACATCCGCCAACTCCTTTAGCACTCTCGGATGCAGCGTATCTGGCCCCATGGACTCGTGCTTGTCCAGCTTTTCTAAATAGTCCCGAACCACTTTCTCCACAGAGGGCTGGTCACCTCCTCCCCATGCTGTGCTGCCCAGTGCAGTAGTCTGGGAGCTGACCTTGTTCTTGAAGACAGAGGCAAAAAAAGCATTGAGTACATTAGCTTTTTCCACATCCTCTGTCACTAGGTTACCTCCCTCACTCAAACTGATATGCTCCGGCCTATGGGTGAAGTGCAGGAAAGGCACAGACCGCCACTGCAGCCCCTTTGTAATCAACCACCCTCCTCCCCAAGTTCCATAGCCTCCTCACCCAGACACCCAAAAAGTCAATTGTGTGTGTCCCCACTTAAGACCATTAAGTCGGCGGAGTGTGTCCACAGTACCGAGACTAGCGTCTACTTCCGGAGCGTTGCACTGTGGGTAACTATCCCACAGTTCCCGCCGCCCATTGGAATTCTGGGTTGAGATCCCAATGCCTGATGGGGCAAAAACATTGTCACGGGTGGCTCTGGGTACATGTTGTCACCGCCCCCCCGTAAAAGCAATGGCAGACAATCGTTTCGTGCCTTTTTTCCTGGGTTACCTGAGCAGACTCCATACCACAGCAAGCATGGAGCCCACTCAGCTCACCGTACGTGTCCCAGGTGCTGGCAGACGCGGTACTGCATTGCCACACAGCAGCAGCTCATTGCCTTGTGGCAGCAGACGGTGCAGTACGACAGGTAGCAGTCGTTGTCATCATCATCGTCATCTCCTGTGTGCTCTTGGCTGACCTCAGGGAGGTCGGTCAGGGGCGCCTGGGCAGACATGGGAGTGACTCCAGGTCATTCTCTTCTTAAGTTTCATCTCATGGAGATTCAGTCTCCCTAGAAACGATGACGGCCACAGTCGTTCTGCACCGTCTGCTTGTGAGCACCCAGGAGATGACTATGGCTAGCAGTCATACTGAACCGACTGCTGCCAGCCTATCCCTTGCTCCCCACTCCCTCCCTCCGTGAAAGCAATGGCTGACAATAGTTTCATGCCTTTTTCTGTGCGGGCGCCATATTGATGTCAACAGCTTCATCCACCCGCCGCGTCCATTGCCGCTCTGCTCTCCTGCAGATGCCATACCACAGCAAGCATGGAGCCCGCTCAGATCACCACGGCAGTTATGAGTGTTGTAAACACCACGCACATTATCATGCAGTATACTCAAAAGCAGGTGAGGAGGCAATGGCAGCGCGGTGACTAGAGTGATGAGGACACGCACACAGACTTCTCTCAAAGTATGGGCCCCGGCAATTTGGACATTGTGGTGGTAATGGGGCAGGTTCATGCCATGCAACACCGATCCTGGGCCCGGGAAACAAGCACAGACTGGTGGGACTGCATAGTGTTGCACATCTGGAACGATTCCCAGTGACTGCGAAACTTTCGCATGCGTAAGTGCACGTTCATGGAACTTTGTCACTTGCTTTCCCCGCCCTGAAGTGCACGAATACCAAGATGAGAGCAGCCCTCACAGTTCACAAGCAAATGGGGGGGAGGGATAGCTCAGTGGTTTGAGCATTGGCCTGCTAAACCCAGGGTTGTGAGTTCAATCCTTGAGGGGGCCATTTAGGGATATGGGGCAAAAATTACGGATTGGTCCTGCTTTGAGCAGGGGGTTGGACTAGATGACCTCCTGAGGTCCCTTCCAACCCTGATATTCTATGATTCTATGGCAAAGTCATTGCGCCCAGTAAATACGAAGAATCTAGACACATGGTTAGTACACTGGGCAGAGTTGGCAGGAACAAAGAACTTAAATATGAGTGAGTCTTTTAGGCTGATTATGGCAGCCACTATTGGAAAGACCAGGCAAGCGGTAGATTGAGCAAAAGAACCAACAGCTCACCAAGAGGTGCCGCAGTTTATCGTGTTAGGAAAAGAGATAGGCCAGAGACCTATGAAGGTGTTATCCAGCGCAGACTGTGTGAAGCCAGAAGATTCACCCAGACATTACTTCTTGAGGAGGACTGCATTGGGGTTATTGGTAGGGGAAATATTACCAATAACTAACGCTGAGGCAGAGGCCGAAAATCATATTAAACCCAATTCTTTGATGGCAGTAGATTTGAATCAAAGGGAATTTTGGATCAATGTGTTTGAAGGGTTGGACATGAATTTATTAGCAATGTCTACTAGTTTGGAGCACCAGGCCCAAATGGAGGGATTGACCATTTTGGATGTGTTGGATCATTGGATAGTATGCCAACGGATGATGAAAGGGGGAAGCCAGGTAGATGGCACAAAATCCAGAGTGCCATTTGTTGAGGCAGTGACTTATTCAAATGAAAGCACGTATAGATCAGGAGGCTGTGGCAGAGGACAGTCTGCCCCACTCCAGGGAGGTAGAGGGTGACATGGTCGGAGTGAGCCTCAAAAGGGAGGTGATGTTATGTGAAACATTGCTTGGAAGTATTTAAAGTTGAGGGGAGTAGATATGGACAAATGGGATGGGAAACCCACTGATGAATTTATCAAAGAAACGCAAATGAGAGAAGAGCAAGTTTTTAAAGAGCAGAGAGGAACTGCAGCCGTGCAAACTGAAGGCTTTAAGAAACTTGCTCCGTAGGGAGGCCCCGGTGACAGGTTGCTCCCACTGGAAATTGGTCCCCTGGAGTGGGAGATGATGATCAGATTAAGGTGGGACTCAAATAGGAGACCTAGGACGACTGTCATTGTGGGAGATAATGGACCCAAAGATGTTCTACTGGATAGTGGGGCTGGTGTAAATATTGTAAATAGAAATTGTGACTTGACTCAGTATGTATCTGAGATCATTGCAGCAGTGTCCTTTACTGGGGAAGGAGTGATGGGGAAAATGTATTATTCAGTGAAAATAACTATACCCAGAATGGGGGCTGGGGATTTTTTTTGTAGAGAACAAATGCTGCAGATAGATCAAATGGCCAATCCAGTAATTCTAGAGACTCCTTTTCTAAAGGAGAATTGGCTGGTTTTGGACTTAACCAATGGAATCTTATGGCATATGTCCAGCTGGATGGAGGGTGCTCTGACAGCGGGACACATTCAGAGAATGTGCACTGCAAAAGCAGTAGAGGAAATTAATCTAGATCAGCAGGATATGTGAGTAAAAGAGTTCCCTGATGTATGGCTTAAAAATAAACCAGAATGTGGTGGAATTGAGGCATGTGTTAAAATTCTGGGTGATAAAGTACCACCACAGAAACAGTGTAAATACCCACATACAGGAGGCAGGTATTGGAAAGATAATTGAATCATTAGAACAACAGGGAGTAATTGAAAAGGGAAATCTGGAATACAACAGCCCAGTTTGGCCCATATTAAAGGCCTCAGGAGACTGGAGAGGGACCCTATACCAAATTGATTGACCGTGGATTTTAGACAAATTAACAAAGCCACTTCCCCTATGGTACCAATAGGTTTCAGAGTAGCAGCCGTGTTAGTCTGTATTCGCAAAAAGAAAAGGAGTACTAGTGACACCTTAGAGACTAACCAATTTATTTGAGCATAAGCTTTCGTGAGCTACAGTTTGCATTCGATGAAGTGAGCTGTAGCTCACGAAAGCTTATGCTCAAATAAATTGGTTAGTCTCTAAGGTGCCACTAGTAATCCTCTTCTTATGGCACCAATAGTAGCAGATTTGCGTCACGTGATGGCAAGGATAAAAGGGATCCTTAAATGGTTCTCTGTAATAGACAGAGTTGGCATCGGGCTTTGTTGCAAGGATAGGTTCCTGGGTTAGTGTTTTTGTTGTGTGGTGTGTGGTTGCTGGAGGGTATTTGTTTCAGGTTGAGGGGCTGTCTGTAAGCGAGGACTGGTCTGTCTCCCAAGATCTGTGAGTGAGGGATCATTTTTCAGGATAGGTTGTAAAATCTTTGATGATGCGCTGGAGAAGTTTTATTCAAGTGACACCATCATAGGACCTAATCACATTAGCCACGCCATCAGGGGCTCGTTCACCTGCACATCTACCAATGTGATATATGCCATCATGTGCCAGCAATGCCCCTCTGCCATGTACTTTGGCCAAACCAGACAGTCTCTATGCAAAGGAATAAATGGACACAAATCTGACATCAGGAATCATAACATTCAAAAACCAGTAGAACACTTCAACCTCTCTGGCCACTCAGTAAAAGATTTAAGGATGACAATTTTGCAACAGAAAAGCTTCAAAAACAGACTCCAACGAGGAACTGCTGAGCTTTAATTAATATGCAAACTAGACACCATTAACTTGGGTTTGAATAGAGACAGGAGTGGCTGGGTTATTACACATATAGATCTATGTCCCTAAGTTAAGTATCCTCACACCTTCTTGTCAACTGTCTAAATGGGCCATCTTGATTATCACTACAAAAGTTTTTTTCTCCTGCTGATAATAGCTCATTTTAACTAATTAGCCTCTCACAGTTTGTATGGCAACTTCCACCTTCTCTGGCTGTGTATATATATCTTCTTACTATATGTTCCATTCTATGTATCCGATGAAATGGGCTGTAGCCCATGACACCTTATGCTCTAATAAATTTGTTAGAGACTAAGGTGCCACAAGTACTCCTGTTCTTTTTGGCGGTTACAGACTAACACGGCTACTACTCTGAAAGAAGTCTTGAGGTCTTTCTGAGTGTAGCCTTCATTGATTTGAGATCTACCATACCATTCTCTCGCTAGAAGGGGAAACCCATAATGGCAGTAAAAAGGAACTTCATTAAAATATTCCCAAACTGGGTCTGTAAAAAGAGAGAGTGGGTGGACCAAATCTGGACACAATACTCCAGGTGTGCTGAATAGAGGGGAATAACCACTTCCCTCGATCTGCTGGCAATGCTCCTACTAATACAGCCCAATATGCCATTGACCTTCTTGGCAACGAGGGCACACTGCTGACTCATACCCAGCTTCTCGTCCACTGTAATCCCCAGGTCCTTTTCTGCAGAACTGCTTGCTTAGCCAGTCGGCCCCCAGCAGTACATGGGATTCTTCCTTCTTAAGTGCAGGACTCTGCACTTGTCCTTGTTGAACCTCATCAGATTTCTTTTGGCCCAAACCTCCAATTTGTCTAGGTCACTTTGGACCCTATCCCTACCCTCCAGCATATCTACCTCTCC